TAAATACAACATTGAAAATGTCTGCAATTAAACTTTCAGAGGGCTTGGCTTCACAGGCATCATACCATTAAAGAAGCATTAGCTAGTGAATAAAATAAGCTTCTAAGGTATATGATAGTAGAGCAAGGTAGAAATGCGATAAAAATAGGTCAGTAGCGGAATATGATATAAGCAAATTATAGTACGAATATGTTGAGAAGTCATCTTGAAGAGCTAAGAGATGAGTTTAAGAAATTCCCCACCTAAAGATGTCCACCACTCGAGTAACAAATATTCAACAAGGGTTCTTTGGATGTATATATGTAATTGTCTAAGTGCATAGGGATTGATACCAGCACCCCGTAGCTCCGCCAAGACCAATTTATTTAATGTAAGGTTTTGCTTTGACATCCGACCAAACAATAATAATTTAGGGAACGATCTCGACTTACTACATTATTTAACAGTAATGTTATGTAACTCAGTATCGAAATCGAGGCCACATCCCACCCAGAGTAGGTTCGGCACAAAATGCTTGATAATAGAATTTATGACAAATTAAGGGAGATTAAGATATCTAAAAAAATGCAAAATCCACATAGAGGGGTAAGTATAAAAAATCGAAATGCTGAAATAGTCGAGTGCAAAAATTGGGGCTGATCTAAGAACAGAAAAATAGGATAATAAATGCTTTCAAGTGACTTACTTTTAATATAGATCTAGAGATTTCGTCGGCCTCATGACTAGTAAGTCCTTGAATCTATAATGGAAACCGGGAGAAAGTGAGATAAAATGCGTACATAATTATTTTAATCTAGCAGTAATTAATGAAGAATGTGAGGTATCGATCAACTAGTGAGCCTTCAAAAGGCAGTAATGATAATTTCTAGACGTTTAACTGTCGCCACAGCCGGCATCGGAAACAGGGCGAAACCAACACCATACAGGTAAAGGAGACTGTGACAAAGGCCACACCATCTTGATTTTCATAGTTAAGTTGTATTATGCATAAAATGAGAGAAAATGGTAGTATCATCTTGAAACTAGAGTGGGGTGATAAAGTGACGCGAAGAGAAATACTTAGTACACAAAGGATATCCGTTTAGCGGATGAGATTTTTTTTCAATTCTGTATATATATATGATTTTCATTATTGAAAGATAAATGAATACCTGGGTGACTGGCGTCGCATTGATCAGGAAGAATCCGGGTTCAAGAAACTCTACGACACCAGGCGCTCTAGGAAGCTGAAGGAAAGCAGCAACCTCTTTGGCTTTTGCATCAAGAGATGAAAACCCTTCAATAAAAAGTTGAAAGAACGCATATTACTCCGTGAGAAGTAAATCAATACTTTCCGAATCAAAAAGACCTGATGAATTCGGCAGCTATTGGTACTAGGTATACATTTCTAGTCGCGATTATGGATGTTTCCTTAACGCTCATTTGACTAGATTGTAAATGAGGCAATAGGAAAAGCTAATGACACCTGGGAGAGCAGTATTCTCAAGAACGGAAGCGAAGGCTGATTCGTCCGGTAGATAGACCAAGGGAATATGGCGTCCAGTGACCGGGTGAATAGCGTACAGATCTAGAAGCTCGGGCCAAGGGGAAGCAAAAGTTGATGAGGCAATCGAAAGTCGAGTAGTTGTCTTGTAGCTAGCTTCCCCTGGGCGAAGAGGTGTACTGGAACTCACTAGTACTAGATGGCGAGAAGAATTGGCTTCGGATTTCGCCTGTAACAAAAAGCATCAAACAGATAGGAAATTTAAACGACATTCCAAGAGGGTAAGCTTATTTTATTAAGATTACAGCGATATATATATATATATATATATAAATATATAAAACTCAAATAATACAATGGAATGTAGTGTATACGAATAAAATCCTGAGATAAGATTGATGTGAAGACTTCCATTTCGTATGGAAGTACATGATGAAGAGATTCGTAAGTCAATCTCTTAGCATATACTAAGTACAATAAGAAAAGTTTCGAATGATGTATGCCAATTCGGAAAAGCAAATGCTTAAAAGTAAGCGCCTTTGTAGAGCCGCTAGCATTTCGCTCTATAAATAAACGTAAACAAGATATGAAGACCAAGATGGTGTGTAGTCGCAGTGTCTTTTCGTTGTATAGAAGTTTTTTGACCTTGTTTTCGCAACTTGGTCATATTGGTAGGAATACTTAGAGGAACTCACCTAGTCTCGAGTCCATTGTATGCATGATAATTTCCAAAGTCAGACCTTGGACGTGGTACATTCCCAGACATTTCGCCGGCATCATATTCGGCATCGTCAGTGAGTTTTGCCATTCTTAGTACCATAGTACAATTTGTCAAAGAGACAAGTCTTGTCTCATACATACAATTGAATTTTGACTAGGTGCGTTCCTCTAAGTCTTCCTACCAATATGACCGAGTTGCGGAAACAAGTTCAAACAACTTATATAAACGTAAATAAGGTTTATAGAAGTTGCTTGACCACGTTGTCGCAAATTGGTTTTGTTGTCAGGGAGACTTAGCAGAACACACCTAGTCCGAAGTCGTCTGCCATAGTAGTTGTCATAATTCCCAGCATGATTCCCGACAAAACTCACTAATGATGCTGACTACGATGCCGGTGAAACGTTTGAGAGTGTACCAAGTCCAGTGTCTGATGCCTGGAATTATGACAACTACTATGGCAGACTTCGTTCTAGGTGCGTCTTACTAAATCCCCCTGACAATAAGACCAAGTTGCGATAACAAGATCAACCCACTTATATAAATCGAAAGGAGATTGTGACTAGCAGAAGCCACATCATTTTGGTATTCCTATATTCAAGTAAATAATGTTTGCTATATTTTACTGTTGGCTTGACTTCGTTTTTGTAACTTAGTCGGAGCGACAGGTATACCTTGTGGAATGTAAGGCCACACTATCTTGGTCTTCATATCTTGCACCATAACATATATAGACTTAGCAGAAACCAGTCCCAGAAACTCACTAACATGATAATATAC